AGGTGTTAATCCAGCGGAACAGGTACTGTTGGCACTGTGTGCACATGCTCCTCGGAGTCACCAGACAGGTATGCTTTACCTGGGGGTGGCTCTGCCTCTGCCTGAACTGATCAAAGCAATAAAAGAATATGTTACCATAGAGTGGTGGATGGTGGATCCAGACTTGTTCTGCTCCCCCACTTCACCTCCTGGGAACTATCCAAGAAGAAAAGGCAGTAGTTAAACTATACCAGGGGTCAGGTGGCCTCCTGTCACGTACCTGATGGGAGACAGAATTGATGAGGTCGGCCTCACTTGTCACTAATCCTGAGCCCGCTGAGGTTGGAACAGAGGGCGTCTAAGGACCAGGGGGACAAGAGTGCCAGGTTTTTGCTTGCGGCTCTTGCAGATGATGACCTTGATAAGCAGGATATCCTCTGATTTGGGTACTGTGGAAATAGACCAGGCAGGTACAGTGGATTGTCAGATGCACAGCAGAGCCAGGTATGTAGCCATGTATGGAGTCATAGGATAGCCAGGTTCATAACAGTCGGCAGTGCGGTACAGGATCAGGAGGAAATGCCAGAGTCAGGAACAGAGCCGAAGTCAGGAACCGGGGGGGGGCAGGAGAGTACTCCTCCAGATAACTGCCTAAGGGTCAGCCATAGATCCTCAAACAAAAGCTCGACATAGTGCTTTATCCTTTAAAAACTTTTATTGCACAATAAACTATTAGAAATGCACTCACATTCAGTAGGTGCATACCGCACCAGGTATGATGAACTTCCAGTAATGTACTTCTTTAGGCACAAGATGGCAGTATCATCCCCAGCAGCATAGACCAGTCCAGGCTCCAAAACATCACCACATTGTGTAATGCAAGGCAAGGGCCTGTATCATTACTGCCATCTTGTGCCTAAAGAAGTACATTACTGGATGTTCATCATACCTGATGCAGTATGCACCTACTGAATGTGAATAAATTTCTTATGGTTTAAACGCATTGTACTCTAACAAATTTTACACTAACGCATTGTACACTAATGCACTGTACACTAACGTACTGTACATGCTAACGCATTGTACTCTAATGCATTTTAAACTAACGCAGTAACTCACTATATACACTAACGCGATCTGAATGCATTTCTTATGGTTTAAACGCATTGTACATTGCATTGTACATCTAATGCATTGTGCAGTAACGAAATGTACAGTAAACTACACTGTAGTCGGTATATATGTACATATATGCAAAGTTTAAACATGAAGGTCTAACTGCTGGGATGGTTAATATCTGTGACCCATCAATACTCAGGAGCAAATGTGCAAATAAAGAGGAAGTAGTGTGTGTAATAGCGGACAATAGGATGTGACTTGGCATGCAAATCGCATGCCAAGTTGCACTCGATGTGACCGCTATTTGAGCGTTTATATTGGTGTGGTTCAAACTTGGTCGGAGCCGCACCGATTTCTAAAGTAGTGAATACACTACTTTCTGTGTGATTTGCATAGAGATCTGTGTCAGATGTCTTGCAAATCGTACTTAAAATCGGCATGTCCCCCGACTTTGAAATCCTGCAACTTCACTGTAAGCTTTAAAAGTTGGGCTTGATGTGAACGTGGTGTATGTCGCACGATTTCAAAATCGGCTTGGATGTGACCGTGGTGGCCCCTGGGCTTTTTTTCTTTTTTCTTTTTTTTTTTTTTTTTTATTGCCGCCAATTCTTTCTTTCATATTCAGCTGTCAGTGGGAAACTCTGCTGCCAGCTGCAACATGAACACTGCATTGGTTTTCACTACTAAAAGGCCGCCTGACTGACTTGATAAAATAACTCCTGTGGTATTTAGTAGCGTTTTTTAGGGAATGCAAACGTTTTTAATAAAAAATTCTGTGTCGCATCCCACCGCATATTTGGATGTGGTACGATACTGCATAGTGAATTGTGCCCATTGTGTGATTTAGCCCAAAGGGTTCTCAGGCTCTCTCTCTCATTTAGACAGAAGGCAAAGATGCCAGCATGTCTATGCGAGGGCAGCTGCCCAGGGAGAACATGCAACTTCATTGCCGTGGATAGGATTCAAACCAATGACCCTAGTGCTTTGAGGCAGCAGTGCTAACCACTTAACCACTGTGCTGTCACACGCATCCAGCCTGCATTTCTGTGGTGTGAATCAACCCTAAGTCCCTGGGCAAGGTCAGTGTAACTAGTTAGATATCTTAAATGTCACACAAATGTTGTGCTATGTTGCCGACTCAGATGTATGTTGGTTCTATGTATCCCAATACAAAGGACTGCAATACTAATATGGTGGTACCTCAGCTTATGAATGCCTCGGTTAACGTAATTTTCAGTTTACAAATGAAAATCCATTGAAAATAATGCCTCGGTTTACAAATTTTTTACAAATTTTTTTCGCAATATGAAGTGTGTGTCGGTACTGCTTTTTAAATGCAATTGTCAGCTTTTTTTTCTTCACTATAGCTCACAAGATTAGCTGTCACTTTCCCCGGAGTTACAGGAAACTTGTTTCTTTTAAGAAACTAAAAGTAAACATTGTTTCTTTCAACTTGGAGAAATAACTAAAAAGACAACTTTCTCTCTTTTAGCTGGGGGGGGGGGGGGAATGACTGAATTTCTGAGCTATAGTGAAGTTTGGAGTTTGAAAAAAAAAAAAAAAAAGCAGTAATCACATTTAAAAAACAGCACCATAATAAAGCGAGCGCCCCCTCATGAACCATACCAGGCCACATGTACTCAACATGGGGGGTGCTTTGGGGCAGGGGGGCTCCCCCCCAAAGCACCTTGTGGGGACATGGGGATGTTGATGGGGACAAGGGCCTCTTCCCCACAACACTAGGCTGTGGTTGTGGGGGTCTGCGGATGGTGGGCTTATTGGAATCTGGAAGCCCCCTTTACCAAGAGGGCCCCCAGATCCCAGCCCCCCATGTGAATGAGTATGGGGTACATGGCCCCCCTGCCCCAAAGCACCACCCATCTACTTATCTTAGCACACTTTTAGTGTCACATACAACTCCGCTCCTCTTTCTCTTGGGGGTACTCCAAGACTCCGTCCTTTGTCACATCCATACTAATATGTCGCTCAGTAAATTTGTGATACGTAAGAAGATTGAGCGGTTGAGGAGCCAAGAGATAGATTTGGGTGTCATCAGCATAGAGGTGGTATTGGAAGCCACATGAGGTTATCAACTGGCCCAGGGAAGAGGTATAGAGAGAGAAGAGGAGGGACCCAAGGGCAGAGTCTTGGGGTACCCCAAGAGAAAGAGGAGCGGAGTTTTATGTGAAACACTAAAAGTGTACTGAGATGTACTGAGTGCACATTTGAGCGGAGACAGAAAGGTGCCGAAGGATTGGTAGAGGTTGAAGATGTGCGTTAGAGAGTTTAGGATGGAGTCGGAAGGTGGTTGCAGTAATTTTGAGGGGACAGTGTCCAGGGATGGTGAGGATATGAGGATATGTAATGGAATGGAGTTTGACAACTTTCTCAGTGGTAAAAGGGTTAAAGGAGAAAAGTGCTGAGTGGGGTGTTGGACTTGGTGGAGAAAGCTTGGAGGAGAAAGCTGGATGCTGGATTTTGTTTTTGAAATGATTGGCAATTTCCTGGGCAGTAAGCAAGTTGGTGGCTGGTAGCAGTAGGGGGTGGAGTAAGGAATTAAGGGTAGAAAAGAGTTGACAAGGTTTGGATGAGAGGGATTTGATGAGAGTGATGTAGCAGGTTTGTTTAGCAGTGTGGAGGCAGGAGTTGTATTTGAGAACGGCAGATTTGTAGAGGGTGAAGTCTTACAGGGATTTAGTTTTACACCACATCTGCACAAGAGCACGACTGCATCTTCTGAGACTTCTGGTGTCGTCTGTTTCCCAGGGTTGTAGCAGGTGAGACCTTGCTCTGCGTATAGAGAGAGGCGCGAGTGTGTCCAGGGAGGATGAAAGTATGTTGTTGTAGGTAGAAGTGGCCAGGTTTGGGCAGGACAGTGATCTGATTTTATCATAAAGAAGTGAAGGATGCATGGGAGGTAGGAGACAGGGAGAGTGTAAAAATGATAAGGTTGTGATCGGAGAGAGGAAAAGGAATGTTAGAGAAGTTGCAGGGAGTGCAGAGATGGGAGAATATGAGGTTGAGGGTTTGGCCATTGGACTGAGTGGTGGTTGTATTAGGTTAAAAGAGGTTAAGTGGAGTAGTTGAGAAGTGCCTGAAGTGTTAACATTGAATGTTAAAGAACCAAGGATGATGGCGGGTACTTCAGAGTAGAAAATGTAAGGTAGCCATGTGGAGAAATCATCGAGAAAGCGTGACACAGGGCTTGGAGGCTGTTAAATTACTCCAATCCTCAGATAAACTGGATAAAAAGGACAAATGCAGTGCACTTCAAAAGAACAGAGAGAAAGAGAGTTGTCAAACTTCTCCTTTTCGTCCGCTGGATCTGAGTGAGTGAGTCCAGAGGTGGCCACCATGGAAGAGGGCAGCTAGAGAGGCAGTGTTGGGTTCCTGGAGCCAGGTTTCAGTAATACCAAGAACATTGAGGGAGTTGAGGAGGAAGAGGCCATTGACAGAGGCAAATTTGTTGAGACTGAGCAGGGATTCCAGTGGGCACACATAAGGGGAGGACTGATTCATGGAATCAGGGGGCTTGAGATAAGAATGTTAGGAGTATGGTTGCTGCCAGGGAAGGCAGACTGCCAATTCTAGGGGTGAGAGATAGCTGATGGAGGGCCAGGGTTTTGGCCAATATCCCCGGACGTTAGGAGTAGTAGAAGGGTGATGGCAGTAAGGTGTGAACGGGATTTATATGAGGGCAGATGCTGCAGTTAATTGGAAGTGCTGATATTGTGTGGGGCTCAGAAAGAGCAGGAGATGATAAGTGCAATAATATTGAGAGGGCAAAAGTGAGGGAGATATACTATATTTGCGAAAAGTATTGGGGCACCCCCCCAAATCATTGGATTCAGGTGTTCCAATCCCCTCCATGGCCGCAGGTGTATAAAATCAAGCACCTAGGCATGCAGACTGCTTCTACAAACATTTGTGAAAGAATGGGTCGCTCTCAGGAGCTCAGCGAATTCAAGCATGGTACCGTGATAGGTTGCCACCTGTGCAATAAGTCCATCCGTGAAATTTCCTTGCTACTAAATATTTCACGGTCAACGGTTAGTGGTATTATAACAAAGTGGAAGTAACTGGGAACAACAGCAACTCAATCACAAAGTGGTAGGTCACGTAAAATGACAGAGCGGGGTCAGCGCATGTTGAAGAGCAGACTGCGCAGAAGTCGCCAACTGTCTGCAGAGTCAATAGCTAAAGAACTCCAAACTTCATGTGGCCTTCAGTTTAGCACAACAACAGTTCCTAGAGATCTTAATTGAATGGGTTTTCATGTCCAAGCAGCTGCATTCAAGCCTTACATCACCAAGTGCAATGCAAAGCATCGTCCGAAAGGGTGGGCCAACTCAAAATTGAACCCTACGGACTAAGACTGGCATGCCATTAATGTTCATGTGCGTGTAAAGCCAGGTGTCCCAATATAATGTATATACATGTTGTGGGGGGTAAAGAAATGAGAGTTTGAGGAGAGAGGTCGTTATTGCAAAGAAGGAGATTAGTATGGGCATGCTGGAAGGTGGAGATAGGGGTAAAAGAAGGCTGAGGGAGAGAGAAAAGATGAAAGGGAACTTCCAGACAACTTGGTATGGAGCACTAATGTTTGTACTTGCTTTTGTAGAAGTGCCTTAGTCAAAATGGCACTTTGCACAAGAAACCTGGTGGCCAACTACAGGAAATGTGTGACCTCTGTGATTGCCTACAAGGGATTTGCCACCAAGTACTAAGTCATGTTTTGTGAAGGGGATCAAATACTTATTTCCCTCATGAACATGCAAATCATTGCATAATTTGTTAGACATGCATTTCTTTTGAATTTTTTGTTGCTATTCTGTCTCCCAGTGTTACAATACACCTACCATTCGATTTTTTGGAATGGTCATTGCTTTGTGAGTGGGCAAACATTCAAAATCAGCAGGGGATCAAATACTTATTCTCACACACACACACACACACACACACACTGATGGTATATAACATGGGGGAGTCTCAAACTGGAGTTCCACTTTAAAACAATATTAGGAAATTAAGCATCCATATTTGAATAAGGAAACACTTTCAATGTACCTGTAATCCCAGGAAAATGCAAAGATACCATGGAGGAATATCTTCTATCTTATAAAGCATGTCAAATTCTGTAGTTTTCTCTTCTGTAGTTTCAGGTGTGGAAACTTCATCATTCTGTCAAATAAAAAGCAAAAGTAAGTTGGAGCAACAACATGAAAAGTAAACAGAGTGCTGAAAACAAACTGAAATCTGTAGGTAGCTAAAAATCTTCCATTTTGCATACCAAGCAGTTTTAATTAAAAGGTATGTATACTACATTGCAGTTTCTTTTTACACCCACAGGTATACTTGTAGTTGAGGAATGCTTTTGTGCACATTCTAAACAGTAATTATGTTCTGATTCAGGAACTAATCTGCATACCATTCATGGGATAAGGAAGAAATTTTATCTTTTCTGTGGGGCAGATTTGTAGATACTTTACCAGCACTGTTAGAATTCATAGATGATTAAGTTGTATTTATGTGGATAGCTCTCTCTACTAGCTAAGCTGCTAAGCTACATTTAGTTTTTGGCTATACTGGTGCCAGTGGAGCAGTAAAACTATTGATTTTGTCTGGTCAGGGTTTTCTTAGCTGGGTGCTTTATTTCTCCCACCTGTTTTTGGAAGAAGCTTTTAGAATACAGGGTAGGGGGAATCAAATGACCAGTATGAAAATGTATCTTGTTCCAGCCAATCTCTAGAGGGGAGGCATCCAGAAGGTGGCTGGGGAGGTGATAAATGTTTGGGAGCCCTTTCCAGCGGCTTCTTTACTTTCCACAGTGTGTTCCAGCTCTCCTGAGGCTCCTCCCCCTGGAAGATAGCTTCTGAGACAAGAAATTGTAGTCTTGGCCTTAACAGGGACTAGGCCAAGGACCTAGAGAAGATTGCTAATGGATTTTTGCTGGAGGACACTATCCTAAAGTCCCAGTCTGGGGAAGAGTCTTTTACCACCTTCACCTGTGGATGCTGGGTGGCACTAAGCTCCCGGGAAATTGTGAGTAATACCTAATTTGGGACTGTAGTATGTACCTGCTCCTGTAAGATGTTTGTCCTGCCTATGATGACTATTATCGTTTTGGCATATCCTGTGACCCTAAACCCCTCTCCTGTTAAAGTTTTGTTTTAGAAATAAATAGTAAAAAAGACATCCTTAGACAAAGCCGTTATTGTCAGTGTGCATTAGACTGTGCATGTGCCCCTGTTCTATTCTGGGAGACCTATGCATATTTTCAGCAGCCCCTCCGGGAGTGAGTGCTTTTTCATGTACATTCTTATTTTAACACACCTGTTTACCTGAAAATATGCCAGCTTCTATTGATATATACATTATACGCATTTAAATGAAGTCTTCCTTCAACATGCTAAGACCACCCACTATCAAGTGATGAGGAGAATAATATCCAGAGAGGCTTCGGGGACAGAGACTTAGTTTTTGTTAGGAAGGTACGTTCAATAATATAATTTTTCTATTGTAAAATGTGCCTCTCTATAAGAAATCAAGACGTCACCTATTATTTCCTCCTTGCAAGAGTAAGGTGGTAGATAGGGATGCTAATCCCTTTTTATTTTGATGAGGGAGATGGGGTGTGGTGGAAGATCAGGAAAAGAAAATTGGAAAAGCTTGCAGAGTTTGAGAGGAGGAATGTGTTCCCTGACAAAAGGTAATGTGTCCTTGGATACCATCTGGGGTAGTGGAAGACAACTGGGTGGGAGCAAGATGCAGGCTAAGAATCTATTCCCACTCCTATATGATTGCATCTGTGGAGAGCCTGGGTCTGGGAAATAGTTGACAAAAACAGTTGTGTTGAAAATTAAACCATAGTAGAGTGACATAACTCTAAGATATGTATCAATCCATTCCAATAAACAAAAAAAGTTATAAGAGGAATGCTGAAACTTCCAGGGACTTACCCTTAGCATGCCAAGATGTCTGCCCACAGCCCAATGAAAACAATCAGTGAATGCACTGCCCCTGTTAAGTCAATGGCAAGACCAGTGTGGGGTTAGCTCAGGTGGGGGATCACCTTCCCTGGGAAAAAGGTAGACCGCACAGCAGGCTCTCTTAAAAATCTGACTGGTTGTCAGCTTTATTTACAGGTTTGCACAAAGGTCAAAACAAACAAAACAGTAAAATAAACCCTTGCCATCCAGGCACTAACTAAACATGAAACTTTCCTCTCTCAGAGGTGAAGGGCTTCTCCCTGTCACCAAAACAAAATAACAGCAAACCTTTTCTTGTAGGTATAGTCCATACACACAGCTCTCTCAGAATACCTCTGAGTCCCCGGCCACGAGCGACTCCTTGCTCCAGCCCTGCCCTTTTTATATCACCTGTTGGTGGACATCAGTGGCGTCCAAACTCTGGTCCGGAACCACCTCTGCCATTGTGGCCCCAAAAACCCGGAATGGACTCCACCTTACACCTCATCGTATGATCTCATGCGAGGTGACACATATCGTCCATCCAACACTTTGCCGTTCATACTGTCACATATCCCCCCCCTCTGCTCAAGCCCCTGCGGCTGAGCAACTGTCCCAACCAGGCAATGGACCCGGGAAAGGGCATCTACATTACTTTGCAGTTTCCCCGCTCTGTGTTCCACTGTGAATTTGAACACTTGTAGCGCGAGAAACCACCTTGTCACTCGACTGTTTTTTCTCCTTATTATCACACATCCATTTGAGCGGGGCATGATCAGTAACCAACTTGAACGGTCTTCCTAACAGGTAATGTTTCAGGGCCTCCAAAGCCCATTTGATGGCCAAACATTCCTTCTCCACAATGGCATAGTTTCTCTCATGTTTGTTGAGCTTTCTACTTAGGTAGACCACAGGGTGCTCCTCCCCTTCTCTGGTTTGGGACAGGACAGCACCTAGTCCCACATCAGAGGCATCCATCTGTACCACAAACTCTGTTGTGAAATCTGGGGTCACAAGCACAGGTTGAGCACAGAGAGCTTGTTTCAGCCTTTGAAATGCGGTCTCCGCTTCAGGATTCCACTTTACCATGACCGACCCCCTACCTTTTGTCAGATCTGTCAGTGGGGCTGCAATGGTGGCAAAATTGGGAATAAACCACCTGTAGTATCCCGTGATTCCAAGAAATGCCCGGACTTGCTTTTTATTTAAAGGTTGGGGCCACTTTTGAATTGCCTCAATTTTATTGATCTGAGGCCTAATGAGACCTCGACCAATGATGTAGCCAAGATATTTGGCCTCCTCTAAGCCTATGGCACACTTTCTGGGGTTGGCGGTAAGACCTGCTTCCCGCAGCGAATCTACGACCGCTTGCAAGCGGGACAAATGAGATTCCCAGTCTGGACTGTGGATAACGACATCGTCCAAATAGGCAGCTGCATATTGGCGATGTGGTCTCAACGTCTTGTCCATCATCCTTTGGAATGATGCAGGAGCACCATGTAAACCAAACGGCATCCGCTTATACTGAAAGGACCCCTCGGGGGTAGAGAAGATGCCGTCTTTTTCTTTTGCAGCTTCCGTTAAAGGAATCTGCCAATAGCCTTTGGTTAAATCTAAGGTGGTTATGTACCGAGCCGTTCCCAACCTGTCAATGAGCTCATCCACCCGAGGCATTGGGTACGCATCAAACTTAGACACACTGTTCAGTTTCCTGAAATCATTACAGAAACGAATTGTTCCATCTGGTTTCGGGACCAACACTATGGGACTCGACCACTCACTGTGAGATTCCTCAATCACTCCCAACTCTAACATGTCCTTTATTTCCTTTGCCACCCCTTCCCGCCTGGCCTCAGGTATTCTATAGGGCTTGACATTTACGCGGACCCCGGGCTGGGTAACTATGTCATGCTGTATGACCGTCGTCTGTCCAGGTAGGTGGGAGAAGAAATCTCCATTTTTCCTCACAAACTCCTTAACATCATTTTGTTGGGATACTGACAAGGTTTCCGTTATAGGTACCTGAGGGGCCACGGGAACCACACCTCCTTTGGGGGCTTGGTACTGCCAACAAACTTTCCCTGTCTTTCCAAGGTTTTAAGAGATTAACATGATAGATTTGTTCGGGTTTCCTTTTTCCTGGCTGGTAAACTTTATAATTTACTTCCCCCACTTTCTCCCTAATTTCAAAGGGACCTTGCCACTTTGCGAGGAATTTACTTTCCACGGTGGGGACTAGCACCAGCACTCTATCCCCAGGGTTGAAGGTACGGATCCTGGCACCCCGGTTATAAACCCTTCTCTGGATCTCCTGG